GCTTCTTTGAAGCAGTTTCTTCCTGGGCTGGTGGAGGAGCGAGAGAGAGACTGAGAGAGGAACGAGGCAGACACCTGAGGGATAAGGCTGAGGGAGGGAGGGAGACACCTGAGGGATGAGGCTGAGGGAGGCAGGGCTTCTCAGCCATCCTGCAGGGACTTGTCCTGAGCCTCCCTGAACTTGGTGGTTTGCTGGCAGACATTTTATTACCCGACTAGGTAACAACATCAGATGTTATCTAGTCAGGTAATGAAGCGTCTGCAAGCAAACCACCAAACTCGGACTCCTCCCCCCCCCCCCCCCCCTAAAAAGGCCCCCCCCCCCCGCCGGTCCTTGAAAAAGTGTTTCTGTGTGAAACTGGTCCCTGGTACAAAAAAGGTTGGGGACCACTGGATTAGATTATCATACTTATGCCACTTGTAAAATTCCTTGACTGTGATAAAAACAGTTCTAGGGAATTTTGGTACTTTTGTCTTGTATGTCACAAATGCAACCAAACTTCATGTCAAGATTCTGACTAACTAACCCAAGCGAACTAGAACTCTGAGGCTAGGAACTTCCTCAAATAACTTTTTTATTGAATGCATCATATTGGCACGATCAAATGCAAAACCAACTCTAAACGTTTCCCATGATTTTAGTATAATTAAAATAGGAAATAACTCCCTCCCAAAAGTCACAGGTCACATTGGTGGACTTTCCAGGCACTCCTCTCCATATCTATCCACCAACTTGGTTCATACGAGAAAGTTCTGTGTTTTGTCTAGCAATGCATTTCATCCTCCTTTCCCCTCCCTATTCTTTGTCGCAACTGAGGAATAGAAAAATGGCTTCTTGCCAGGTTCGATTTGAAGTTGACACCTGTTTTATCACATACCGCAGGTGCAATTCTATGTGAACTATGATATTTAATTCAATGCTGAACATAAAAGTCAAACATGCTGTATTTTTCACTTAGTTTTAAACCACTTGTTTTGTATTTTTTGATAGTATATGTAATTTTATGCTTTGTTTCTTTTTCTTTTTTCTTTTTCTGTTATTATTTTAAAAGCAATTACATTTTATATAAACCTCATATTATTAGCCATATCCCACAAAATAGTAGACACCTAAAATGTTCTGAAATCTAATCATATTTGTGGATGTTAAGAATTCTTGGAACTTTCCTTAAACATTTTGAAGATTTCTCTGCAATAATTTAAAATGTACTTCAAACGTACTTAGGAAAAATTTCACTCCAACATGGGTCATCAGCTAATTAACTAGATTTTCATTTAATTCTACCTTTAGCTTATTGGACAGTATGGTCCTATCTTTACCATCTGGATTGGATCAAAACCTTTGGTTGTGCTCTGTGGATATGAGATGATAAAAGAGGCTTTGATAGATCATGCAGAAGAATTTGGCGGACGTAATATTTTGCCCACCATTGAGCGAATATTCCATAATCAAAGTTGGTATTGTTGTACTTTCTTATTTGCTCTCCTTTTTTCTTTGAAACCTACTATGTGCATTTTAAATTATGCTGTTAAGGTCTAGAAAGTTTTGAAAGATGATTTTGCAGAAATGTTAATTTGGTCACAGTTGTAGGAGAGAGAATAAAGCTGTATCATCTGGAGAGAGAGCGGGAAGGAGGGAGGGAGAGAGCACTTATTTCTACTTGGTTCTTTGGAAAGAGAGCCAGAAATAGTTTTTCAAATAAGACTTTTTTAGCTGATGTGCCATGTAGGCTATTGTTGAAAATTAAGTCAGAATTGGGGCCCTGAGTATGTGAAGCAGAGGTGGTATTCAGCAGGTTCTGGCCAGTTCTGGAGAACCAGTAGCGGAAATTTTGAGTAGTTCAGAGAAGCGGTGGTAATCTTCCCCCTGGAGTGGGGTGTGAATGGAGATTTTGCAGTATCCTTCTGCTGCCATGCCCACCAAGCCACGCTAACCAAGCCATGCCCACAGAACCGGTAGTACATTTTTTTGAATCCCACCAGTTTGTAAAGGCTTTCACCTCTTGGTTATAATAATGACTACGAAAATGTATTTTTCTCAGCTACTACATATTTTAAATTTTATAATTGTCATTGCAGTTGTGTTATCTTTATCTTTGCTCAGAATAAATCTTTGAGATAAATTGACATAAATTGAAAATGAATGAATAAATAAATAAATGGAAACTGTATTGGCTAATTAGTATTTCAAGCTGCCAGTTGTGCTTTCTTGAGAGTAGGGAGAGAAGATTTTGTGATCTATAATTTATTGCAATGCAGTGACCTATGACAACTAGCGGACAGACAAAGATCTGAAGGAGGAAAGTGTTTATAACCATTGTTTATATTGAAACATGCTATTTCTCAAAAGCTGAAAACTGACAATCATGCTCCCCCCCTCCCCATGTCTTTGGTTTTAGGTCTGGCCACTGATGATGAGAGAAACTGGAAGGAGAGGAGACATTTTATGCTGTCTACCTTGAGAAATTTTGGGATGGGGAAGAAACAGATGTCCGAAAGAGTGCAGGAGGAAGCCCTTTGTCTAGTGGAGGAAGTGGGCAGCATTCAAGGTTCTCCAAAAAAGCCTAAAGCAGTTCTTCTGCAGAAGAATAATTTCATTTGTAAAAAGAAGCCGAGAGGGAGTTTTGTATTATGCAAGGTTACAGGAAAATTAGATCTTGAGTTGAAACTCAAGTAGCGATAGCAATAGCACTTAGACTTATATACTGCTTCACAGTGCTTTACAGCCCTCTCTAAGTGGTTTACAGTGTCAGCATATTGCCCCCAACAATCTGAGTCCTCATTTTACCCACCTCGGAAGGATGGAAGGCTGAGTCAACCTTGGGCCTGGTGAGACTCAAACTGCTAAACTGCTAGCAGCTGGCAGTCAGCAGAGGTATCCTGCAGTACTGCATTCTAACCACTGCACCACCACACTTCTACATTTAAGTGCACAAAATAAAGAAAAAAATAGGCAGCGACAATGTTGTTTTCACGCTGGTGTTCAGGAGCACAGACAAAAATACAGATGGGAAGTATATAAAACTTTCAAGCTGTTTCCCATACTTTTTTACCCACTGTCAGCTCTTGGCTTCATAAAATTACAAGCATACCGAGAAGTAGTGAAATTTTACTATGGCTGCAGCAACTGAGAGATCAGAAATGCTAGGAAGTCATTTAATGGGGGTAATTACAGATTTTTAAGCATGAATAAGTTGGGCCATCCTTTGGCAGAGATCGTGTAGGTGTGGGAGACTTACCCCAGCAACTTGCGACCTTCCCTACAAGCTTCCCAGGAAGGAAGAAGTCCATACCCAATGCTCCACTCCCGCCATCAGCCATGATCACATGATCCCCATTGACTTTCTCCCTGCAAACTTTCCAGGCTTCCCCATGGACCTGTGGGAAAGTGTCAGGAAATGCTGTAAATGAGGATCATGGGACTGCAGCAACACAGAGGCAGCAGCAGCAGCACAGCATTGCTGAAATGGCAAGACATTTCCTAAATTTTATTGCCACAGGAGTAATGGGTCCTGACATCCTAGGTTAGCCCATTTAAGGTATCTTGGTTGATAGTGAAATATTTTAAATGGGCTTCATTCAGCTGAAGTTACAGATACAAGAGATTTAGGATTATATAAATTTTCATATAGTTTAACATATATTTAATGGATGCCAGGGTATTTACTCATTTGGACTGTGTCATTCTAGATAGATCATGGAGGATTTAGATGACCTGAATTTTTTTTATTCTAGGTTTGTAATGAGATCTGTGGAAAGAAAGCTCCGAGTTTTCTGATCTCGCTCATAAATATTTATAACTTTCTTCCAGGGCAGCCTTTTGAACCAAAAAGAAAATGTACAAATGCTGTTTCTAATATAATCTGCGCAGTTGTTTTTGGCAACCGATTTGATTACCAAAATCAAACATTCATAGAGAACCAAAAAACTCTGGAATCTCTTTTAAAAGTCTGCAGTAACTTCACAGGAATGGTATGTTACTCATCATATTTTGCACCTCCTATCTTGAAGCCGAATTTTTACTAGCAGGAATGCAAATGCTGAAGTAAAAAATGTGAAAACTAGATGTGATGAACTGCAGATCTGGAAAAGCTAAATCTAGACATCCAGAGAGACTGAGGCAGTTCATCTCTCATAGCTGATTTTATTTCCTATGGAGCATTTTCTTCCCTGACCATTAAAGCCATAACTCCTTTTCTTCTTTTTTCTAGTACTTACTCATTTCTTAATTTGCCAGGAAAGTCCAAGCATGAATGCCTCCTAATGTTTCACTGTTATTCTCTCCATACATTTATGATACATAGCAGTATTCCATACAAACAAAAAAGAATGTATATTATACATTTTTAAAAAGTGCATGGCATGTACATACCAAATAAGTACAGTAATTATTTTGTTAAATTGTTGACCTTTCTCCCTCTCTCCCCCCGCAATTTCTTTTCAGCTGTTATCTTTGTGCTAATAATCATAAACTCTCTTCTCCATTTCAAAGATTATGAACAATTACACTATTATCCATTAATGTGAGAGGTTGTGGGCAGAGGTGGGATTCAAATTTTTTAACAACTGGTTCTGTGGGTGTGGCTTGGTGGTCATGTGACTGGGTGGGCGTGGCTTGGTGGTCATGTTATTGGCTGGGCGTGGCCAACTCAATATCACTCACATCAAGGCACACATCTCCTCGCCTGGCCTCTCATGACTGTGGGGATGCTGCAACAGTCGTAACTGTGGGAAATGGTCATAAGTCACTTTTTTCAGTGTCACTGTAACTTTGAATGGTCACTCCACACAAGCAAAGTATCAGCAAAGAAGGGGAAAACAACTCCAGAGAAGTTCCTGAGACAGGAAGTCTAGTCCCGCCAAGAATGTAATAAGTGTTAATGGAGAGTCAGTTTCTGTAAGCAACACCAGAATGTTTCCTTCCTGCCTTCCTTACAGGATTAGGCCAGTAATTTCTTCTAACAACCGGTTCTCCCAACTGCTTAGAATGTTAACACTCGGTTCTAGTGAATAGGTGTGAACTGGTAGAATCCCATCCCTGGTTATGGGTACGGTAGGAAAATAGTGGGTAAATCAATTGAAAGATTATCTTGCAAATGGAACTCGGCTCAACTGAGGAGAGATGTGGGGAAAACTTTTTCAACGAGACTTTGCTTTAATTAACTTATTGTAAATATAAATTCCTATGACAGTTTCCCAGATTCTCTGTTTTTTTTTAAAGTATCATTATAGATATTTTTGTGAAATCCAGTTCTTGCCTTCTAGACCTTGGCACCTATGTGAGCCTTGATAATTAGCAATTTCACTGTAAAAAACAATCCCTGAAAATTTGGACCATTAAGATGCCACCATAATAGTCTAAAAATATATGCTATTTAACCTGAACTTTGCTACAGGTGTACAATAGTTTTCCAAGAATAATGGAATATTTGCCTGGGCAACACACAAAGACTTTTGCTGATATTGAAAAACTTTGTGACTTTATCCATGAAAAAGTGGTACTTCACCAGAAAACACTGGATATTCAGGAGCCCCGTGACTTTATTGACTGTTTCCTTATCAAATCAGAGAAGGTATGTATGTATATGTATATATCTCTGTGTGTGCGCATGCACACACAAAAAAATTCTGCATAAATATGAGTATTCCCTGATATGCATCTAACATGAAACTTGTTCATCTAATATGAACTAGTATAAAATTATGTATTCTCCATATTCTATGCTTGCTTTTCGACAACTCCCACAACACTAGCCAGACAAGGATATATGGAAACTGATCAAGGAGAGATTCAACTTAGAAATAAGGAGAAATTTTCTGATAGTGAGAACAATCAACCAAAGGAACAGCTTGCCTTCGGAAGTTGTGGGAGCTTCATCACTGGAGGCTTTCAAGAAGAGATTGGACTACCATTTGTCAGAAATACTGTAGGTTCTCCTGCTTGGGTGGCTGGTTAGACTAGATGACCTACAAGGTCCCTTCCAACTCTTTTAATCTGACTATAAGTCCACCAGGCTGGCTTCACCACCATTTCTTTTCTAAAAAAAACTCCCGGGGGAGGGAGGGGACAGCCAAAGAAGCATTTTCATAGAAAACCTTGTTTTATATTTATTCCAAACTCTTAGAATGGCACATCTGACAAAGTGATTATTAAAATCAACATTTACTTTGACTTTGTCATAAATAACCATGCCATCCAAATCTTAATTCATGATCTTCTAGATCAGAGGAGTGAAACTTGTGATGATATGTCATGTGATGTATAGCAACTCCCCCCGTTCGCTAAACCAGGGGTGGCCATGGCCAGTGCGTGATGCATCTGGCCCACGGCCTCGAGTTTGACACCCTTGTTCTAGATCAAGTACCCTCTTATTCTGCATGCTCACCCACTTTTTTATCCAGATCTAACCACAGGCATCAAAATACAATTTCAAATCTGGTAAACCTAAACCCCTCTTTCCTTAGCACCTTGAAATAGTTTATATCTAATTCTTGGTTGTTTCTTTGCCATGTAAACTTAGAAATATCCATCTGTCAGGTTTAAATGGAGTAATTTAGATTGTCAAAGCCCTTCTCTGCATCTAAAAATATTAAAGCTGTCTGTTTCTCATTATGATATTGTAAATGTTCAATAATATTCAGAATAGTCCTACACTGACAGAAAGCCAGTTTGATCTTCATGAATATATGTCTGTATGAACTGCTATACTTCAGTTCCAAGTAAATTCTTTAATCTTCCCTGTTCCCTCCCTTTCCCCCCACCTTCAGGAGCAGAACTCATCCAACATTATCTACACTCCGGAAAGCCTTGTGCGTTTTGTCCTTGAAATGTTTTTTGCTGGGACAGTAAGCACAAGCAATGTGTTGGTCTCCAGCCTACTTGTGGTGGCCAAATTGCCACACATTCAAGGTACAGAAATGAACACAAAAATAGAAAGGTTTCAGGCCTCCCATGGTATCCCATGTTCAATCCTCAAAATATTGCTGAGTAAAGTTCCACACATTACAGTATCTTTTATGCAAACTGCTTGGAAGCATTATGGAAATGATTTGCCATTGTCTTTTTTCTGAATGTTTTTATTGCTGTTGTTTTAAATTTCCATATTTGTCACTCCATAAGTTGTACCTGACCATAAGATGCACTTCTGGTTTTGGCCTCCACACGTCCTGTTTTTGGGCTTTGCATGTCCCCTTTTTGGCCTCCACATGTCCCATTTTTGGCTGAAAATGGGATATGCAGAGGTCAAAAATGGGATGTGCACAGGCTGAAAAACAGGGCCTATGGAGGCCAAAAATGGGATGCATGGAGGTCAAAAACGGGATGTGCGAAGCCCAAAAATTCTAGGGAACTTAGAATCATGAAGAAGAAGAGATGTCATGGTTTAACAACATTCCCCCTCCCCCTCCTCTTAATTAGTTTAAATTAATTTAAATTTATCAACTGCATTTTTGGAGTTGGAAATTCTAATATCCAGAAAGCCCATATGGAATGCTTTATGTTTACTGGCTCTAGGCATATTAAGAACACACATAGGCACGTATAGTATAAACATCAATCACATCTTTTTAAATTAGAAGAATTGAAACAGTCTCCTGGGGGGGGGGGGGCGAGGAGGAGGAGGAAGAGGAGCAGAGGGAGTCATTTTCCTGCTTAGAAGTATCTTCTCTGTATGTGCTTTGAAAGTCATAGCTGACTGCAGTTGCTCAGCATCCGATAATAAAAGGCTGTCAATCTTGTCTCACTATTTTTTTCCCCCAGCTAAAGTGCAACAGGAGATTACTGAGGTGGTGGGTACAAATCGCATTCCAAGTATGGAAGACCGTTTGAAGATGCCTTTCACCAATGCTGTGATCCATGAGGTTCAACGGTGTTGGAAAGACAGCCTTGAGACCTTTCCACGGGCAACAACTTGTGACCTAAAATTCCATGGTTATAACATCCCCAAGGTGTGGTGATGTGACTATGGGTCAAGATACTCTGGGAAGACAAAAAAAAAAAAGATGACTGTTATGTATCCAGAGATCCTTCATATTCAAGGCATTTTGGATATTAAACCAAATGTCTCTCATTTCCCTCCATCTTTACAGAGGGCTCCCCACTGACCTATTTTATTTAAGGCAAGGGAGAACTGAAGACTTTTCTCTGCATAAACTAGTGCCAATTAATGCCATCTATTTCTTCCTCTTCCTTTAGTACACGGCTGTTGTGCCAGTCCTCCCTTCTGTACATTTTGACCCTCTCCAGTGGGAAACTCCAGGGAAGTTCAATCCAGATCATTTTTTGGATGAAAAGGGCCAGTTCAGGAAAAGAGATGCTTTCATGGCATTCTCGGCAGGTATGTGCCTCTAGAACAGATTGGATGTGTTACAAATTCACATACTTAATCGATCCATGTTATTTTTTTTATAAGACACAATGCTTTCTAAATAAGTTTCGTTTTCTTCTTGGCTAATGCAGGGAAGAGGTCCTGCCCAGGGGAGGCCCTGGCTCGGATGGAGGTCTTCTTGTTCTTTAGTGCTCTGCTCCAGAAGTTCACCTTCTATCTGGATGTGGATACCAAAGACATGGATGTAATATCTTTGATTACGGACTTCAAAAATAACAAAGCCCCCCTTTTAAGAGCCATTAAATGTTGAATGCTGATCAAGAGAAGAAAAGAAGTGGAGGATTTGGGGGATAAAAAAATCTCAGCAGCAATTTTTTAGAAGATTTTTGGGATATTGAAGGATTTTGAGTGAAACTAATCTAAAATACTTTTCCTTTTAAATTTTCTTATCTAGTAGAGGCATGTTCACTACCATAGAACATATTATTCTGGCATTCATGAGAACTTATGATAGTATGCTGGATTTAAGAGGAACTTAAGAGATTTTAAGAGAAGACATACCCCAGAAGCTTCCTTTAGCTCAAGGGAAAAGAATGGATACAACTAGAAATAAGTTAACATGAAAATGACATAACTATGATGTATGATATTGCATACAATTTGGCATTATGGCTATCAGATTGAACGTCCACCAAGAAGTTTCAGAGGACAAAGGACTGGGACTAGCATCCTTTTTCAGCACCCTGAAGCAGCTATGTCTTTTTCTAGAATGAACTGGGCCTTCTATCTATAAATGTGAGAAATAGGAGAACAATTAATGCTTTCAATACATTTTCTGTGAAAATATACACTTCCAAATGAAATACAGAGTTTTAACTCCATTTGAATATGCATTCCATATGTTTGTGTATATAACTCAGGGGACTCCAGTAGGTCTTTAAGTCTCCACACAATGTATTAGGAGATATTGATGAGTCTTCTTATTGGAGTCCACAGTGACTCAGAGTGAGATTTTCTGAATCCCCCTGTGTGAAAGAACTTGTCCTTGTGGCACAGGTGACATGGAGACTAGACTATCTTTCCCATGCTTTTATATTCCCTACTAGTCAGCAAACCTTTATTCTCCTTTTACTGACTGATTTTAGAAGTAGAAATGAACATTTCTTCACCATTTTAATCTATCAAACAAGCCTTTTATCACCTGTACTGTTGCCAGTTTTTTTTCACGAAAGCAATTAAACACATAAAGAAATGACAAATAATTACAAGGTCGAGGCATAGGCATACACACTGAAACTCATTTTGTTTCAATTGTTATTATAATTATTGATCAATTGTCTCACTATCTGAGGTCAGGCTTCTCAATTTAGACTTATAATAGTTGGGGTTTTTAAATTAACCAAACAAATCTTATTGATCCGGTGGCAATTCAATTGCTGTTGTTAAAATTTGTTGGGAGATTGTTAGTTTATATTTTTTTCTTAACATATTAATATTTTATTATATCCCTAATTCAATTTTTAATGTTTAAGTAAACGTAATTTTATCATTTACATCTTACTTTAGTTTACCCTTATTTTAAAATTTTAAGGTTTGCACATATACCTTTTATTCTATGTATATATTTAGTCTTTTCTCAGTTCTTTATGTTTTATTTTGTATTTAAAATTTATGTTTTATTAATTGCTAGTCAATCTCTGTAATAAATTTGACTGATTAAATTTGATTTTTGAGCCTTATTTATGCTTCAGTGAATCAAATTATGCACTCATGAACAGGCCCTATTTCAATTCCTTAATTGGGAAAATCAATATTTGTGAAATCTCATCAAGTCTTTGGGATAAGGTCAAAATGAATCAATATTAAGGTGCAGTTCAAGATGAACTCCAATACACCGTATTAATGTTAATTTTTTATGGCAAGTTAAATCTTCTTGAATATTCTTAGCTAAAGTAAAGTTACTTTACATTGAGGATGGTTACAACATACCAGATTTTCAACTGTTTTTTAAAAGGAAATTTCTTATGAATATTCCCCTCTTTGGATCTGAAATCTGGGCACATTTTAGGGTCTGAGTATATTAAACTGGTTTCTTGGTTTTCAGACTTGAAAACTGACAAACACATTTAGTTATTTTTTTTTTTGAATTTTTTTTTTGATTTTTAAAAACAAATATAAACAAGCAAAACATAAAACATAAAAACAGGAAGCATCTTTTTTGAAAGCAGCTTGATCCCATGTTACATCTCTTCATGCAGACACAAATTCAGGTTCATGCTCATTTTGATATACTATTTCATATCTTATTACCATTTCACATTTTCTATATAGCTTCTCCCCTCTTTTAGCTTTCTTAATTTTATTTTATTTATTTCATCTCAATTCAGATCATTATACTTATATTCTTTGTCTGTCCTGTTTTAGCTGTTTATTGTCTTTTCTGATTAAACAACATTTCTCCTGTAATCACTGATTGGAGTATGACGCCCTTATATCTTTCCCCTAAAATTATAACACTTAATATAATACATAACTTCCATTCGGATTCTGCTTGATACATTCTAAAACTACACACTGTATTTTAAAAAAAGAAAAGTTATGAATATATAATATAATTAAAACAACAATCCATACCAATTCAATTCTATCGTTAATATTAATATTCATTTAAATCTTAAACATTTTACACATTACTTTTCAAATAGGTATCATACTTCTATGGGAACACTTACAAGCTTTCCATAGTTACTTCCCCCCCCCCACTTCACTTATATTTTATAAAACATTGAGTAAATAAAATGTTCCCATTCCTTCCTAATTCAATTCTCTCATTTATTCCATTTCATTTATTTTGTTCACAAAAGTTTCATTGAATTACACTGACTATTTTATCCCACTTTTTAATCATATGTTGTTTCCAATTTTCTAACATTATTTCTAATACAAATATAACAATACAATCTTATGTACCTTTGCAGAATCACTTTTTCAGTTACATTTTCATCCATTATCTCTGAATAAATCCTGTTTCTTTATATCTTGCTCGAAACCTTTGTAACTTCTCTTCCCTTCCTTGCTCCCTTGCTTCTTCTCTCTCTCCTTTTTACCCCCTTGTCTCTCCACCTCAATTTCCCTCTTCTATATTCCCCTTTTCTATTGCTTTCTAACATTATATCCACTTTTCACATAATTTTTCCCTTTTTTGGCTGTATTTTTAGGTCTTAAATTCTCCATTCTCTTTCCCCCCTTTCCCCTTTCTTCCCCAGATAAAGTTACTTGTTCATTAAAGATGGCTTCTTCTTTGTCCCAATCTTCTTGTTGCACAGTCTTTTCTTGTTGTTTCTTGTAGACACAGATCGCCATTTCTAAGAATTGAAAAACGGAGCCAAAAGAGCCCTTCTCTTCTTGTTCCTCTTCTTTATACTTTTTAAATTCCATTTTCAGTTCATCCACAAGTGATGCCATTGTAAAAAAAATTTTAAGCAACCACCCAATTGTTTCTGATCATTCAAATATAATTTCTAGAAGTCCCAAAGTCACCAAGCAATCCAAATACACACAAGCTGTTTCTTTTAACACTTTCTTCTTTTTTCACTTTCTCTTCCTGGGGTTACTATTTAGTTGCAAAGTTCCAGTTAAAATGTATCTTTTAGAAGTCTTATTAAGATTTACCTTTAGATTCTTTTGAATTCCAGGCAGACTCCTCCTTCCAAATCCTGCCCTTATTCTTTTCCTCTCCCTTCCCCAAAACAATTTTTTTTAGCATTCAGAAATCTTTATTATCTCCTTGGCATTTAATTATATTTCCAGTTTAATCACCTATTGGAGCCAAAGCAGATTTTTCTGATTTCTCATTCATCTCTCTTCACTGTCAACATAAGGAAGGAGAGTGAAAAAAAAAACTTTCCCTTTTCACTTTCATTCGCTGCTTCTGAGTCTTCTTTGGGAGCGATATATCTTTTATAAAATTTAAATTCCAGGATACCTTAGTTATTGCTTCTTATCCCGGTCAGCCAAAACTTTCACTTCTTAACTTCCTCCTGCACTTTCTTTTCTGGTTGAGTGCTTCTTTGAGGCAGTCATTTCTGAATGCCGCTCTTACCACCTTCGGGAAAGGGAGTTTAGCCAGCTGAGGAGGAAAGATGTGGCTTTCCTCGACCCTGCTGGGATCTCCTCCCTCTTCACCACCTCTACGGGGTGGCTTAGCCCCGAAGCCAGCTGGCTCGGGGCGCTCCAGTGGCGAGCCCAGGCAGAAACCGTGCATGACCACAGATTCCTGCCTGCCGCCGAAGCCCTGCAAACTGGAAGTCCAAACACATTTAGTTATTAATACCTAAGGAATTGCATTTAATGATGTTTTCATCCTGTTTTTTTTTGCTCCTTATCCAACATTTAGATTCTAGCCTTGACATTCGGACCAACTTGTAGAATTTGATGGTATTAGAATTCTTGATATTTTCAGCCAAAGCCAAATAGGTTTTTATTTTTGTCTCCTGGGAAGCAATGGGTATATTTTCCTTGCCAACAGGCAGTTGGCACTGGGATATAGTGACTTCTGTCTCCACTGAGACAAATAATTTTGCTTTCCAAGAATTAAGAGAGAGTACTCTCAATTTCCATTCCCAACATTAAATATTTTTCTAGGTTTTGTAAAAATATAATTGCTGTACATAAAGTTATATGTCACACATTCACATTGGTATGCTTTTTTTAGCCCTTTTTAATATCCTTCCATCTGCAATTTTGTATGAAAGGTATAACATATTATTATTGTCTCTGTGATGTGGAGGAAACCATATATGGTCCATATATTTCTTAGATGTTGCTCCTGTAGCACCCTGAATTTTACTTACTAATAGTAATTCCACTAAAATCTGAGAATGATTTTAGGACTGGGTTAGAACTCTAATATCTCAAGAAGACTAGCAAATTCCTCCAGTTGCCATTCTTTAATGCAGAAAATGATTCTTTTTAAATCCTGGTAATATAAATTTCTTTTTTTCTTTTTAAAATAATTTTTATGTTGACCTACGTCTTAGATCTTGTACTATTTTAACAATCGATGAAAAAGCAAGCAAACAAGCAAACAACAATCAAATAAGAAGACATTTGTTGAGAAGCTTTGTATTAAGTTTTAGATGTTTTTTTTAATTCACATAGTAGTTTTTTCCTTTTATTAAGCTTTAATATTATCCTTTTTTATAAAGTTACAGTCAATTAAGTTACCCATTGATTTTAGAAAACACGTGCTTTTTAACCTGTATTTTATAACATCATAAGACTTTCACCAAATGGTGGTCAGAGACTGTAATAAGGTTATCTATTTTTCTAAGGTTTCATGTTTATCTAGACCGCACTGAAAAGTCAGCAGGAAAAACTATTCTCTACCCGCAGCAGGAAATACTATTGGAGAACATGGATGTGAGTTTTCCTCCCTCTCTCCTTTCATAGATTGAATTTGGTTGGAACTTGGAAGGATCTATTTAAATTATGGGCTCCAATATCCTGCTTGTGCTAGAGTCTAACTTCAGTCTCCAAGAGATAGCTGCCCAACCTTTGTTTGAACATCTCTAGACAGGGTGTACATACCTCAAGCATTGGAAAAAGGACTTCAACTCTATTGTTACTGCTCAGGGGTGGGATTCAAATTTCTTAACAACTGGTTCTGCGGGCATGGCCTAATTAGTGGGTGGGCATGGCTTGCGGACTGGCATGGCTAGCTGG